TTTCTTTTTTATATAAAACAAACATTAGTGATAAAATTACACTAGCTGGATCTACATGATGCATAAATGAAAGACTATTCATCAGATTAATTAATTGAGTTCAAACATCTTCCTTATCTACCATGCACAGTTGTTGATAAATGTTCGGTGTTCAGCTACATTCATAGAAGGTTGAGAGTCAAATTGCCTTGATTTTGCAAAGAAAACCTGTGAAATATTGCCAATGGCACTGAAAATGAACCTATGGGTGATGATGGTCAAGTCATGACTGTCATAGTCAAATTTATCAGAAAAGTTTCACACCAGGCCGAAACCATGCACTCGTCACGATAGTATTGACCATTGAGCAATTGCTGCTTTATCTGCTGGAAAATGTAAAGTTTTAGCTCTAATAGATTGTCAAATAACTTTAACATTAAATGCTGTTTAGCATATAGGTCTGTATCATTACTTCTCCAGTATGCAATTTCCTTTAAACCCAATCTGATCATGGATGCATGCATGCATTCACATAATTCATTAAATTGTTTAAATTATCGACTTTTAGTTTAGCTCTCTACTATACAGGATATAGTGATAGATCGAGGAAGTCAAACTGACTCGATTTGATATGTAGTAGTAAAACATTAGACTAATAGTAAATAAGCATTCTATCAATTTCTTATTTGTGCTTTTATAAAGCATGTAAAAGTGGCTAGTAAAACTAAATTGTATGGAGGTACCAGTATTGCAAAGCAATGGAAAGCAACTTTACGTATATTTATACTGGTGATTACAACACTCCAGCAGTAGCAGCAGTTCTTATTTTGTTGAAATAGTTGTTGAAGAGGGGATATAAGCATAACTTGTATAATTTCAGCATTAATCATACAGTTGAGTACTGCAGTTACTACTGAAACTTTGGCTGCTATATCATTTGATCAGTTTCTTTCTACTATAAAACCACATCTTCACAAGGGGATTATGAGACCCTGGGTAGCACTAACCTTCACCATTGCTATTATGGATTTTGTACATTTTGTTGCTTATATGCTGCCATTGCTTGCATGGTTTTAAAAAATATAGCTATGAGTTTTCATATAGTCCCTGCATTCCATTGTTAATTCAAAGCCCAGTTTAGACCCTCGTTCATGCTGTTTTACACACAATTTTTATCATCATAATATTATCACATCAATCTGGACATTCTGCTTTACTTGTAGGTCTATTAATTAATGATCAATCAGAAATTGTCAGAGATAATAGTGTTTATGCATCATAAAAAGAAAGACTTTTTGGGATATTTGGATCTATGTTCCTTGCATATTCATTCTGCTATGGACCATCTTACATAACGCTCATGCTATACCCAGTAGTTGAGATTGATGAAATAGTTTATGCTGCAGATATGGCTATGTTTCAGTTAATCACTATTACAAGTCAACCTATTCAAGCCTACTTTCGACCAGATATTTCAAATGGTTTGATTATTTTATTGCATCAAAGATTAAAAAGAGGCTTTATTAATCATCTTAAAATGAACAATAATACAAGTCAAATTTTTCTTGTTTAACTCTCCCTTATTTTTTGTAAATTTTAACTTCATACTTCATAGATCTAGTTTTATTATTTTCATAAATGTTTGACTCATTTTGTAGTATAGGTAGACTTATTTGATGAAATTATTATTATAACTGTTACATCCATAAATCATATTGGAGTTCCTTTGCCATTTTTCACTGATAAAATCATTTGAATTTCATGTACAATGCATCAAAGTGTCCTTTGTTAAAAAGGATTGTGTTGCATAACGCATATTGCAAAGGTCACAGATGTTTATAGTGATATGATCCATGACCTCATTATTAACTTAAAAGTACAGGAATGCATGTCAAGCCAAACAACTTCCTGTACACCCACATCA